CTAGTAGCTGTAGATGTCGGAAGCAGGTGCAGATGTCGCTAGTAGCTGTAGATGTCGGAAGCAGGTGCAGGTGTCTTTAGGAGGTATAGATGTCGGCACTGGATGTAGATATCATGAGGTTATGTAGATGTCGGAAATCGATCTAGCTGTCGGCAATAGATTTACATGTCGCCAACAGACGCAGATGTCAGGAATAAATATGGATATCGGCAACCGGTGCCGATCTCCCTAACAGATGTAGATGCCAGCAAAGGGTGCGGATGGCTCTAAGACGTGTAGATGTCGACAACTGACACAGATGCCTCGAAGTCTTCTAGATGTGCTAATAGATCTAGATGTCATCAATACGCATAGATGTCTCGCATAGACTTAGATGTCAGCACTTAAAGTGGATGTAGGCAACAGGTGCAGATGTCCCTAACTGATCCAGATTACAGCAGCAGATGTAGATGTCGCGAAGATAGAGAGATGTCGGCAACAAGTGCAGATGTCACTTATAGCTCTAGATGTCGGCCACAGGTTCAGAGGCCGCTAATAGCTCTAGACGTCGGCAACAGGCGCAGAGGCCGCAAATAGCGGTAGATGACGTCAACAGGTACAGATGTCCCTAGTAGCTGCCGATTTCGGCAGTGAACGAAGATGTCCCGAGGTTACGTAGATCTTCGCAATCGACCTAATTGTCCGCATTAGTTTTAGAGGACGCTAGGTTATGTAGATGTTTTGAATTCATGAAGATGTCGGCAACAGATTCAGATTTCCCGAGCAGACGTAAATATCAACAATAAATGTGGATGTCGGCCAATGGTGCAGATTATCCTAAGAGATGTAGATCTTCACAATACATGTAGATGCCACGAAGATATGCAGATCTCGGCAGTACATCTAGATGTTGTCAATAGAGAGAGATCTCGCGAATTGATGCAGATGTCAACAAAAAAGTGGATGTCGCCAACAGGTGCAGAGGTCCGTAATAGGTGTAGATATTAGCATTATATGGAATTGAATCGATCGTATGTAGATGTAGGCAAACAGATCTAGAGGTCGTCAATAGACGTAGATGTGGAGAATAGTCGTAGATGTCAGCAATAAATGTGGATGCCGGCGATACATGCAAATGTCCGTAATACACGCAGATTTCGGGAATATATGCTTATACGGCGAAGACATGTAGATGCCGGTAGTAGATTTAGATGTCGTAAATGAACATCGATGTTACGAATAGAGATACAGGTCGGCAATAAATGTGGATGTCGGCAACAGGTGCAGATGTCCCTAACAGTTGTAGGTTACGACAGCAGATGTAGATGT